TAAAACCGAGTACAGTAAATTCTCCCTGATCGATGCTCAGCTTGTTAACGAAAATGGACAATTTTGGAAGAGGAGATACGATTATTCGAGCCCTCGCACTTCGTTTTTATAATCGTTGACAATCGGCGACTATAAAGACGAGCCGCGAGGCTCGAATAATCGTCCCAATCGTATCGAAAAATCTTCCCAGATTGTCCATTTTTATTTACAAGCCGAAAGAAAATTGAACAGAATTTACTGCGCGTATTTTTGCGCGTTTCATTGTAAACGATTTGGCGCATTCGACGAAGACACTTAGTCTCGCGTTATTAATTTATGCAAACGTATGCGCGGCTCCTGTTGCCATAATTTGTCTTGTGAATGATAGAACGGAGCAGAAATTAAGAATCGGTTTCAAGATATATCATCGGCGTATAAAATTCGAAGGCGATTTAGCTTCGCGAACGGACGAATTGCTCGCCTTGAAATATGTGCGAAGGTTAATGAGCGAGCACGGTCCGAGAATGATAATCGCGAATGTAACAATATCGTAATAACGACGAGCGAGATACAACCGAGAAAAATAGGTCCGCGAAACAGCGATCGTCGAGTCTTTGTGCAAACGAACGTTTCGCCGAGGCGCAGAAAGCGCCGAAGTGTGTCAAAGCCGAACAATTCCCTCGTTGTGATTTCTTTAAAGAATCACGAGGACATTGTCCTCGACCGAAACGCGGCGGAAGAATAAACGATTTCGAGTAGGCGGCCGAGAAGGCGATCGGTCATTCGGTTTGACAGTCGCTCGATCTCGGAGCTCTTTTTTTTCGCGCGAACCGTTTTGCACGTATTCCGCCGAAAAGGTACTCGAACGCCGGGAATAATTACCGTCGTCCGAAAGAAGCGTTGCGCCATCTTTATTCCTGTCGCGGGCCGCTCTATTCTCGACCCCGGGGGTCAATTCGTTTTAGCCGCAGTCCCGCGAAATAATTTATGCCCGGCACCCATTGCTAGCGGTTCCGGGTGTCCCTAGCTTTTCTTCCCCCTTTCGAGCCGCATTTCGAGCAGCAACCTGATAATTAAGTAATTTGTAACCTTTCCGAGCTCTCCGTTTCCGGGACGGAGGCGTGGGCTTTTACGGATGTGTGTACACATCTCTCTCTCGGCTCTCCTCGACGCGCCAAACAAATCTTTCGGTATGAAACAGCTTTCCTGGCGTCGCGTCCGACGCGCCGATCTCTCCGAATCTTTGGTTCGCTAGTTTCTAGATGTACGCGTAGCTTGTACACGTTTCGAATAATATTGGTGCTCGATCTTCGTTATTATTTTATCTCTGACAATTATCTTTCTATTGGACTGTTCGCATTTCTGCACTGCCGAACTGCGATCGATCGAATGGAACATTTTCAAAATTCATATTTAAGGAAATGAAAGCAGAATAAATGTAGAAAAATGCGTCCTTCACTTTGTTCAGAATGGTTTAGAATATTAGAATTCTGAGTCTATATGTAAGCACAGGGTGAACGGTAATATTTTTTAAAACTATCGTCGACGCTTTTGCAGACTGAAAAACGTCTTTTTAAGTAGCCGTTTTCGTGTCGACGCAGTGCTTGAAACTGTTAGTCGCGAAGGTTCGACGGTGTACAAGAGGAACAAAGTTCTTCCACTCGGTGTTAGAACAATGCCAGGTTCGAGTGTGAAATGTCGTAACGACTTGTTAATTTGGAGCTAACAATAACGTGTCGTCGCACCTTGGAGTTTAACTCGTCCATCCTGCGTCTTTGAAAGACAGGGACGTCAGTTTTCTTACCGGTTACGTTTCTGAAAGTTGCCGAGCTATTATTCCTATGGCACCCAATAATCCCCGTTCCCGATCTTTATGAATGTTTGCACGATTTCACGCGCGCACTGTGCACACATACGTGCCAAGCAAAATTAGAAAATCGCAGATGTGCTAAGGAAAAATTCGTATTCTCTACGGTGATCTTCTTATTTGGTCATTCGTGTACTGTTTTACGAAAGCACGATTAAATTCTCTAAACGCTTCACCGTAAATACAGCTTTCGAATTTAATTATCTGTTCAATTACCCGAATGCATTGTTTTTTTTTACTCGATTTAAATCGTGTCCGAGAAAACATACCTTTTGTTACAGAGCGAAGTGCATTAGCACCGCGACAGCTTCAGTTCATAAACCGCTCGAGAGTTCCAACTAATTTAACATTGAATCGACTGGCAATACCGTTAGGATATAATCGAAAAAGCATTAATGAACCTAATCGTAGCAAAACGGTTTTAAAGAACTCCCCGGGAACATCGGAGAGTCCGTAGGAAATGAATCGGCACGCGGAGCGAGAGCATTTTATTGACATTTTCACTTCCATTAAATATTATTGACTCTGGCAAATCATGGTAACGCCGTCGCAATAAAAATTATTCGCCGCGCGCGCGCGCGAGACCGGCGAATGTTTGAAGACAAACAGCTGTCGCTACAGGAACAATTCGCGTGCTGACTCGCGGATTTCGCCGAGCCCACCGGCCATAACGGCAAACAATTTTTCGCCAATCCGTAAATAACTCCGAAGAGTCCCGGCGGAACGATCTGCAAACAATAGTTCGGCTCCTCGTGAGTTCCGGAATCCGTGTTATGATATGTGTCGTACGTGACTCGGCCGTGCTACCGCACTCGTAAAAGTTGCGGTGCAGATGTATCTTCCGAACGATACGTGACGGAATGCGATGGAAACGGCCAGATAGCACTTTACGAGCTTTCCTTATTACGACGTTAAATCAAAAGTCGGTCCTGGACGCATTAGAAAGTTTCAATTAGAAATACTTCGCCTCTGTGACCGCCTTTTGTCTCGTTTTACACTCTCGCTTCGAAATTATTGTCGCATTAACATCGAATGGAACCCCTTCGACTGAAAACCCCGCCGAACGTTAATATCTTTCGCGATCGTCGTCCACGCGATTGCGTGCTAAATCGAACCGGATTAATTCGTACGAAGTATGGAACATACGGTAAATTATGGTAGACGAAAATGGACAATTTCGGAAGGTTCTTCGAGCCTTGCACTTTGTTTTTATAATCGTTGACAATCGGCAACTATAAAAGTGAGCCGCGAGGCTCGAAAAATCGTATCTCCTCTTCCCTAATTATCCATTTTCGCTTACAAGCTAAATTAAAATTAGGAAGAGAATTTACTGCATATCGGATAAGTGGAATTTCTATTTTCGATTTTTTAGAATTTCCTCGGCATATTCAGCAATCGCGTCTGATAATCCTTCGCTTTATTAAATCGAAGGAGAATTTCGGAAGGATTTCGTCGTTTCGCTTGGACTCTGTGCCACCGTTAATTCGATCACGCTTTCGTAAGGGTTGATAGCGATCGAGCGACTATGCTCGTGCTCGCGTAGTGAACACGTCGAACGAAAATGCACCACAATTGCCTGCAATACCATTCCGACGCGAGAACCGTGGCTGCAAAAAATGAATCAAAACGATTCCCGGATTCCCCGTACAATGCCCGAAATCTCGGCACGCCACACGCGTGCACCGCCGGGGAAAGCATGGCGAAAGCATGGCGAAACCATGGCGAGCTCGTCGGCGAGGATCGCACGCAACCATCTCCGCCTTGATCCTATCGTCCAACAAATTCGGCCATGTGCACGAGTTACTACCGCCATAAAATTCCGGCCGTTTAACGATGGCAAGAATTTATTGGATATTTTTGGTAGCTAATGTGGCCACCGACCTTCTCCCTTCTTGAACCCTTCTTGGCCGGCGCGGTGCGGCGCGGCACGGCGTTCTCTCCACTTCGAGAGGCTGGTCCTCTCTCCTCCTTTCGTTTCTCTTCCACCTTTCCAGCCACGCTCTTCCTCCGTTCCTCTCGCCTTCTTTTCCAGACGCGGCGCGGCCGCCCCCTGTATCATTGGCCATCGAGGCCGAAAACTTGTGTAGTTCTCGCACGCGGCTACAGATACGCGTCTCCGATCTCGCGGCAAGATAATGGGCGTCGGGGACGGGTTCATTTATTGGGTGTAAATCTCTCCTCCTTCTAGCGGCGCGCTCTCAGCCACCGTGTAATCGCGTCCAACGTTTATCCCTCTTAACGTATTTCATCGAAATTCTCGGTGTCGAAAGACACCGTTTACACGGGGCCCGACGTTAAGGAAGCTTTACGACGTGCCCTCAGCTACCGCCTCGTTACGAAACCGGTGTCCAGATCGAAGGCTCGGGCTCTCGGCGCTGCCTCGGCGACCGAGACGGCTGCTGGAAAACGTATTAGCCTGGCCCCGGCGATCCGCCGTCGATTTATCGGCCCGACGATGCGCCGAAATACGACGCCGCGCGCCGCCGTTCAACAAACGGTGTCCCTCGCGAACCCGCGGGAAACCCGGCTGTTAAACGTCTCCGCGCCGCGCCGCGCCGAGGATCGAGCCGAAGAAGCTTCCTCCTGCTCGATCCCCGTGATCCAGGGAACACCGTCGCGCGCCGGCTCCATATTTTGCGGATTATCTGATCCCGAATGGGAACTGCGCTCGATACTTAATTGTACGCGATCGCAAGCGGACGCCGAAGTAGTAAAATCGCGCGACGGAGTTATGGCGAGAGGACGTTCGCCGGGTTCTTTCGCGATTTATCGACGGAGAGACGTCTTCCGGAGGCGATCGGTAACGTTCGCAGCTTCGCGAAGCAGCGAGGAGCTGGACAATTTGGTAGACGGTCGAAGATTACGGGGATTTCCGGATCGTTCTCGTAATTCGTTGAATCGGACAGGTTTTAATCGCGCGCGCGAGATGGGGATCGAGTTTGCATCGAGGTTTCTTGCGCGAAATTAATGTCTCGTTCGTCGATTGTACGAAAACACAGTCAAACGTGTCTCAGCAGGCTTCATTGCTTCGAAATCCATGATGCGTTTTACCACTTACATATCCCTCTATATTATTATTGCAATCATTTTCAAACATTCGCATGCACGAGATTGGTACGTTTGGTGTACAGGAGGTTCTGATTTGACGTTCCAGGTGAGGTGTCAGGTGAAAACGTGTCCGCCAGCTCCGGACCACGCGGCGGCGATCGTGGAGAGGCGACCGATTTAGGCACACACACGGAAAACAACGACGGGGCCACCCTGGCCGCGAACACAGCGGTCGACGCCAGGGGCGGAAGCCCCCAGGGCGCTCACCTGTCTGGTGCGGCCACCCCCAGACCGCCGAGGGGCAGGAGGCGGCAGAATCAGAATGGTCTCGACACTACTCAAGTAAGTTCCGCGTGCTTCGACTTAGTTTATCACGATACTTCAACCCCAATGTCCAAATGGTCGTCTAAAATCGAAATACATTGATTGACGCTCAGAGATTGTCCACAAGAATGGACAATTTGGGAAGAGAATATGCGATTATTCAACTATAAGAACGAGCTGCAGGGCTCGAATAATCGTATCTCCTCTTCCAAAATTGTCCATGACTAATGGGATTGATTTCTGGACAGATGACAAAAATCCCGAAAATGAATTCCACTAGTCTCGGTAACTGGTCCAAAATTTTGCTATCCACTTAGGAGGGCCAGTTACTGAGACTGGTAGAATTCATTTTCGGGATTTTTCGAATATGTCCGGAAATCCATCCCACTAGTCTCAGTAACTGGTCCACGAAGGTCGATAGCAAAATTTTGGACCAGTTACTGAGACTAGTGGAATTCGTTCTTTTCCTGTAATGAATTTCTGTAACGAACAAGAAAACCCGAAATTTGGCAGAAGTCCTCTTCCCAAATTGTCAATTTTTGTGCACAATCCGAGCGTGTCGGTTAAGAAGACATTTCTCTGTTTCAATTTTAGACGACCATTTAGACATTACAGTAATTTCTGTAATGAACAACGAAACCCGAAATTTGGCATTTCCGGGAGAAATTACCGTACATCGACGCCTGGACTTTGACTCCTATACTCTCGCTATTTGCGCTCGCACGAACTCCCAAAAGACTCGTGCTCGCTGCCGTCTGAAGTGTTTGATCGCTTGCGGAAACACGTGTGGGAAGCTCGGTAGAGAGGTCGCCGGTTGAAGCGGCATGGCGGAGCTTCGGCGTCCTCGTGTGCACGAGGAGCGTTCCCGTTCTCTGTCTCACAAATCCTCGCGTCTCCGTTCCCGTGTCCGGACCGGTGCTCTATGACAGCAGTGTCAACCGAAGCTGCACTGTCATTCCGTCGCTGACATCCGTGTAGCCATTCGACGCTTCTGTAAACGGCGCGCGGAGCACAAGAAAAAACCGCCGTCGCGGCGCGGCGCGGCGGTTCGTCGGCCGGGAAATATCGATGGTCATCGTTCGAAAAGAACGGCCGGCCAATGACACGTGGAAATTCTTCGCCACTATCTTTCGACGTGGCCGGAATGGAGATATCCGTGCTAACGCTACCTAGAATCAGGCTGTCAAGATGGGACAGGGTCGAGCGATTTATCATCCATCCGTTTCTTTGCTTCTCATTCTACGGCCACGTTTTCAACTGTGGTTCTTCCGTTTTAAGAAGTCCGAACGGAGAGACGTTTTATTCATTTCATTTCGACAACGTTTTCATACACCGTTCCATACCGTTTAACGTTGTAATTGCCAAAAACAGTCTGACACAACGAGCTACTGGAACCGGTTACCGTGCAGCGACCAATTGCTGCTCCATTCCTTTACGTTTAAAATTTTTATGTCATTCCATTTTGTTCGTTTGCGAATGAAAAGATTTAATACGCCTCGATCGACGAATATAAAATTAATTATGCCCGAAAGCAAACCGAGAGCACAGCAATTCAGTCTGTTGCACAGCAACCGGCTCTCGACTGTCGTAGACCGCGCGAGAAAGGACGCGCTTCGTCGCCTCGTTTCGCGAGAATCGAGAAAACAGATTCGAAAGAAAATTCGCAACATCGATCGGTGGAAACGAGTTGGCGAATAAATAAGTCCGAGCAGACCCGGTCTCGGGACAGGGCAAGCGCAGGAGGCCGTTCCGTGGTTGCCTTTTGTAAGAAACTGGCAGTCCGACTGAAAGAGCAGAGTCCCTGGAAACGTATACACGGGGATCGTGTCTACGTCGCGAGACCCGGAGCGGCCCCTTGTCAGGAAGAGGTCTCGAGGCGAGAAAGAGATTTACCGTGGCCTCTTCGAGCGGCTCCTCGGACTCCTCGGGGATCCTATTCTACGCCAATCGAGTCTCGTTCTTCTTAGTGTCACGCCGCGTTCTCGCAGCCGAAGAGGAGTCAACTCTTACGCCACGCGTTGCCTTCATTACCATATCTCAGATGCAATCTGTTCCCGGGAATTAATGCACGGAGATATTTCCTGCTAGGTCGGACACTTCCCCGGTGAAACCGAAGTGGATCGCAATGACGTTTTCAATGACCAAGGACGCGAGCCTCGGCGCGAGGCATCTTGATTTGCATTCGAATCGATTAGAGGGCGATTTTAATGGCTCCGCTTGTTCCCTTTTCGCCGAGATCCCCCCCTCTTCGTCGGGTTAACAGTCTTTCGAGATTCTCGCGCGGCTATCGATACGAGTTCCTCGCAATTTCCACGAACAGGTTAGATCGCAGATTCCATTGTTCGCGTTTCTTCTCTGTTTCATTTGATTAAAGCGCTTTCGATTCCGCGTCGATATTGTTCATTGAAATGGAAAACGCGTTCGAGGAACTTTCGATTCTTGTTACGAAGTAAAAATATTGATATGTCTTAGATTGTGGATTGTACGTATTTATAACAAAAAGGAGTAAGCGTAACTTGAAACGGAAAGCTCGAAGGAAAATTTATTATGATATTGCTGTATTATTTTCAACCTCGATCAAAATGATCAGCGAAAGCAGCAATTTTATAAATTGTTCTTGCAAATGGTGCAGAAACTTTTCATTTTGTATAATTTAGTATCTAACTATATGCATTTGCAATAAAAACAAATCGGAAGTCTGTACAATGTATCAATTGTTCCACGTGTTTTACTAAAAAGTCATAATAAGTCATAAGTCGTAATAATAATTGCGTTAAATTGCACGATGACATTTTTCATCCGTTAGGAAATATAAAATGAGCCGAACGAAGGGTTGACAAGCGAGAAACCCTTCCACGATGTCGATGGAAGACTACCGCGTTGATAAGTTTGTTTTGTGAAACATTTTACGGTTCTATGTTCCAGGTTAAAACTGAACGACTCACGCCAGACAATAACTCAACCTCGTCGAGAAGCGTGACGCCCTCGTCGTCCAGCCACCCGGGAACGCCGCCAAATGCAACCCCCTTGGGTGGTCCTGAGGGCCCACCGCCGCCGCACCATCTCAAACACATGGAGCAGATGATGGGTCGGAGTTACAGCGATTTTATGAAAAGTCTCGCTGCCAAATACAACAACGCCAACCCTAATGAGTAAGCTATCATCCCTTCTCTTTTATTGTCGCTTCAAACTTTCGCAATATCGGCGTTGCGCGAGCTGTACTTTTCTGTTGTTTCCTCGAGAACATTGCGGCAATTCTAAAAATACAACCTGACATTAAATCGTAATCGATGGGGCGCGATTTTTGCGGCTTTATCATCGAAATGACTAGCTAATTGAAAAATGTTCACGCGTTATTTTCACACTTCGTTGGATCGTTGAAGAGATAAACGTGTTCCCGTTCACGAAAATGTTTGCGTTGCACAAAGATTCGTAGTTCAACGATCGTATTACGCATTTGATCGAATTTACGAACACTCTACGGTCCGTAAAAATGTTTGATATCATCGAATTTCTTATTTACCGAGTCTGTGCTAACAAAAACTCGTGCCGAGTGGCACAAAGATCGCAGGACACCGGCTAATAAACGGCAAGAAGTCGGCGGACACTGTTCGCGTGTATTCCGAAGGAATAGGAAAAAAACACAATGAAAACAACGTCGAACGTTTGCGAAACGCGGCGCGAAACGTCGTTTGCGCAGAAAAAGGTGTGTCTTCAACGGGAACGGACAAAAGAGAAGGTGCCGTACGTGCTCGAACGATGTGTCGCAAGTGGCACGTTCCTAATTCCGACGGAACAATCATCGTAATTGTTGGAAACTCCGCGCGCGTAGAAGCCGCGATCTTTTCTTTCCGAACACAGCCGATCCATTACGCGCGCCGCGGCGACTTCGCCTATCGTCTAAGCATTATTTGAAGCAAAGAACGTAAGACCTTGAGAGCCATGACGTTTGCCTTGACATTCTTCCTGCGATCACCGTGTTCCGTGTGCATACGTGGGAACGTAGGAACGCAGGAACGCCTAACGGCCGATTCCGACGGTGCAGCCGCCTTGGTCCGGCCCGGTGGACGACGGCCCGACGAGGACGGAGAGAGCCGCGAAGGGAAAATATTGATCGTCTTGTTACATGTCTTGAAATATTGATGTTCGAGGGGACCGAACGGCCGGGTGTTCCACGCACGCGATATCGTCACCGTGGAACCGGTCGCAAGATTCGCATCTACGTCGACTTTCAATTATGTACCTTCCGGCAATCGATCGAGGACCCCGGCTACCAGGCCTGATCACTCAACGATCCACCGTAGATCTGCTCGACGTGAACGCTGGAAGCTCCTCCGACGCTTGCGATCCGTGACATTTCCAGGAGAAAGTGGCTCCTTCATTGTTTCGACTCCTTGAATAAATATGGATCGTGCGGCCGAACCGAGGCTTCATTTTTCTATAATATTCATGAGCAATCGTCGTCGGGAATATTTTCTCGTTCCCGACTGTTTTACAGCGCGAAGATTCTGCGCCGTTTTGCCGTGCTCTTTGTTCGCGAGTAAATGTAATTCGATCGCGATCTGACATCGTTTTAAAGCGACTCTTGTTCGAGGAATTATGTGTTCGTTCCACCGATTTCGATCGTTTTTATCCGCGCGCCGGTCGGAAATGCATCCAATGGCACTGCAAACGAAATCGTGCATTTCTCGCAGTAAAATTTGATCTGTTCTCTACTTACTAGATGCTTTAAATCGATAAAAATTCATCGATATCGATAAATGATCGAAGCTAAATGAAAAATAATATTTCTGACTTATAACATTTTCATTTTATATGGCAAAATGTATTTTATGCACACGAAGTTGAGTTTTGTGACTCGCGCAACAGTTACGCTTTCAACAATTTTTTAAATCTAAACTTTGCTAATATAAAAATTACCTTAGAACGCGACGTAACAAATTTTAGTGTTGCCTCAGAGTCACCACGCGAGTGCAAAGTGTGAATTCGAGAGTGTTAATTCGACGAGATCTATTCCTTCTAACTATAAAATTACATATTAAATACAATTGTTTACTATATCGAGTAAAAATAGAGGAAGTATTATTACGAACGATCATAAACGAAGCACAATTTGTTGCTTCCAAGTTTAAATCGAAGATGAATGATTGTCCTTAAGATCCCCAGGGTTAACAAAGCGGCGTATTAAAATAGCGATGTTCGTTACCTTGGAAATCATTTTCCGAACATTCTCTGTTGCAGCTACTTCAGTTCGCCGAGAAATGGCTACCCTCCCGGTCTGGACCCGAGGTTTCCAGCATTCAAAACTGCCGCAACGCCTTTCGTTGGCTTAATGGCGCCGTTAGGCGCGCCCCAACCACCGACCGTATCGACCACCTCGCCCTTATCCAGCAAAGACCCGAAGGAACAGAAGCAGGACAGTTTGTTCGGCAATCCAGTTTTCCCGCCGATGCTCGACATGTCGTCGACACAGGCGCTTCTGCATATGGTCAGGACTGCGAACGCGGCACAAAACGCGGCCGAGCTGGAAACGTACCTGAAAGGTAATACTATTATATAATGTGTTTATCCGCGTCGATTTAGTACTTCGATCGACGTTCGAACTTCTAAACGATCCTCTAATTTTTTTTAATTATTTTGAACATATCTGGCGCAAGTTCCTGCAAGCTTTTCTAGCATTTCTAAAACTGTCTTCTATTTTTAATATTTTTCGTTACGTCAAAAATGATGATATTATTTTTAAGATATTTTTAGATATTTTTAATATCATCATAGTGCCTACGATGATATTATTTATTATCCATCCGCGCTCAGCATGTAAACGCTTCTTCGATTTAAGATGAAGACAGACTTTTTTTTAGAGGCAATAGCCAAATAATTGCGACGCGAACATCCGCGTTTCCTGAATTGGTTCGAATGATCGAGGTTCTATAATCGCACGATTATTATTTGATGCGCGCATCTCCAGCGTGATCGGAGATTCGAGCCGCGTCCTTCTGGAATTATCTTCCCATGGGGTTCGTGGATAGCCAGCCCCCTGGCGAGCCACGTTGCTCAGGAAACGTTGTGAAAATAATTCCAGAAGAGCCGTGCAGCTCTACGATCGGCAGGAACAGCGAATTGAACAGCGAACACTTCTCGCGAGCAGGTGCGAACATGAACAAAAGAGACGCCGGCGTGACGAGTCCCCTGGATCTCTCGAGTCCGGGCGGGTTCGCACCCCGCAAGAGGCAACGAGCGGAGACCCGGAGATCCGGCAGCGTGTCGCCCAAGCCGAAACCAACCCCCAGGCCGACGACGCCACCGCCGGTCAGGTGTCCATCCCTCTGCGGCCACATGCCCTGCGGCGACGGTCAAGCTGTCAACCGGTGGACCATCGAGGACGTCGTGAATTACGTGTCGTCGATCGACAGTTGCGCTGAGTATGCACAGGTGAGTCACGACGCTGTCTGCCTTTTTTCCTCTCCGCTCCTCTCGCGGAGATCGGTTTTTTCTTTTTTTGCGGCTCGCCGTTACGACAGCCGACGCGAACGCGTCGCGTTACCGAGGCTTCGCGAGAAACGCCATAGGCGCTGGGAAAACTCGAGGTGATCTAATCGGCGAGCTATCAGAATTTCTGACGACCGATTATTCCACCGGCGCGGCGCTCTAATCGATTTTCTTGAACTCGTGAAATATTCATCGGCACCGGCGGAAAGACACCTCCGCCGTCGACTGATTCGGACCTGCGGAATTCTCCTTTAATTAACGGTTTTTAGTTGCTGCTCGTTTAAACCGCTCCGTCGCGATTCAATTGTAGACGCGATCGAACTTGCCGCGACCTGCTCGAATGTTTCGTTAACTATACGGAATTGAGCTATTTATTTTCCGTGTATCGGACTTTATAAACTCTGCAGGAATAACTCCGGCAGAAAAATCGTATGCCAATCTACGATCACTCGTTTCATAGAGGAAAGTAGTAGCTTTCGAATGAGCTAAGTGTCATTGATGTAAAAAATTTTCTTGGCTCTGTGGAATTTTACAAAGATGGACATAATTTTGGAAAATGGTCGATATGCAATGCTTGTTTCTAATTAGAATAATTCCGGCAGAAAAAATCGCAGGCCAACTACCGATCACTCGTTTTATAGAGGAAAGTAGTAGCTTTCGAATGAGCTGAGTGCCATTGATGTAAAAAATTTTCTTGGCTCTGTGGAATTTTACAAAGATGGACAAAATTTTGAGGAATGGTCAAGCTGTCATTTCTTTGCTCCAATTTTACCTATGAATAATGCTAGATTTCAATTAGAATAACTCCGGCAGAAAAAATCGCATGACAATCAATGAACACTCCTTTTATAGAGGAAAGTAGTAGCTTCCGAATGAGCTAAGTGCCATTGATGTAAAAAATTTTCTTGGCTCTGTGGAATTTTACAAAGATGGACATAATTTTGGAAAATGGTCAATATGCAATGCTTGTTTCCAATTAGAATAACTCCGGCAAAAAAAATCATATGCCAATCTACGATCACTCGTTTTATAGAGGAAAGTAGTAGCTTTCGAATGAGCTAAATGCCATCGATGTAAAAAATTTTCTTGGCTCTGTGGAATTTTACAAAGATGGACATAATTTTGGAAAATGGTCAATATGCAATGCTTGTTTCCAATTAGAATAACTCCGGCAAAAAAAATCATATGCCAATCTACGATCACTCGTTTTATAGAGGAAAGTAGTAGCTTTCGAATGAGCTAAATGCCATCGATGTAAAAAATTTTCTTGGCTCTGTGGAATTTTACAAAGATGGACATAATTTTGGAAAATGGTCAATATGCAATGCTTGTTTCCAATTAGAATAACTCTGGCAGAAAAAATCGTATGCCAATCTCCGATAACATTTCTAAAAAAATAATTCATCCGTCCAAGACTTTCGTACGACATATTTACACGTAGTAGACGGTACGTACATTAATTTGTTACTAATCGAGCATACGTCGGACACGTGTTCCAACAAACGGTATATTTCGAAGACGCGTACGACGATAATTATAGCAATCAGTTTAGCGAAACCTCCGAAGATAAATGAACGTCAATTAAGGGAGAGATGCACGCTTTCCAGAATCCTTTGAAATTCCCGAAACAAGTTAATCACCGTCCGACGTACTTTTACGACAGGCTGTCGGCCGGTATCAATTTTCCCAGGCAGCGCCGGCAAAACAAAAAGCGTGTCGTCGTTCGAAAATTTACGCGGCAATTAGTCCCATCGCGCGGGACATTAGCTGTCTAACGAAGTATCAATTACGAAAACGCGACGCCGGCCGGGGTGAGGCTTTTAATTACTTCCCCGTCGCTCTGATTTCTCTCCGGGAGCTTTCTCTCCGGGCCGTCGATTTTTCAATGTTTTCCCCGGCGAGCGAGCGAGCGAGCGAGCGAGCCAGTCTGCCGGCCTCGGTTCGTCGAAGACCGTTCGTTCGGTTGGCCAACAATTTCTCCTAAGCGGAACAAAGCCGCACAGACGCATCCCAGAGGCGAAAAGCAAAAGCAGCAGAGGTGGTCGCGTATCGGCTTGCGTCACTCGCCGGAAAATTAACGAGTGGCCGTGGCGACTCGCGGCGGGCAAGCTTCAGCGCGGCCGTTTTAATTGCTTTTGAAAGTCGTCCGCGTAATGAGCCGTACCGAGATCCGTCGCGCAATATCTTTCGAACTGTTCAGCCTCCTCTCGACAATCCGCGTCGCCGCGATGAGGCAACCGGAGGAGGTCTAGGAAGCTTCGAATGACCTGACATCAGTCAATCCGGACAGTCTGGCATCAACGGAGCAGCCTAGCCGGTGCGCCCGTTAGAACAGTTCTATAATGACCCCTCGAAGCTAGGATCGACCCTGCACCCCTCTCTGATCCTCGCGTCCGCGTCTGCGTCCGCGTCCGCGTTTTCTTCCCCTCCGATTGCTCTCTCTCTCTCTCTCTCTCTCTCTCACTCTTTCTCTCTCACTCTCTCTCTCCCGTCCGATCCTCCGAGCTCGGCTCTGTTTCTCTCTTCGTCCGGGCATGGTATCCGCGGCACGAAATTCCGAGGAGAACGTGAAACTATCCGTGATTGCCTCGACACAGTCGGCTCCTTTATTTTTCCGGCGAGGATTTGCGCGCATGGGAAAAGTGTTCTCGCTTCCTGCATCGCCGTTTTCGTTTGCTCGCGTTTCGTCGGTCGTTCGGCGCAGAAAATAGTAGACGTGTCGGAGGTATAGTTCAACAAGTTCGGCGCCGATCGATCATCAACCGCTAAAATTCCCGCAAAGTCGAAGCGATTTAATCGATTGAATCGAGACTAGAATGTCAACGCATCGAAGCATGTTCGTTCAATTCGTTGGACTATTTATTACGATGAGAAGGAATGTTCGAATTTGGAGAAAAATCGGCGCGATCGACGCGGCGCTTAAAGAGACGCGCGTCCATGAAAACAGTGCTTCCGAATCGTTTTGTGGAAAGGTGCCGGTTGAATCTGTTCGCGGTGATTTATTTGATTGAATAATTAGGATCGAGGAAGATCGTATAAACAGTTTCTCGACTACTTCCTTCATCGCTGTCGCATTAAAATACAATGGAATCGGTAATAGTTTGCGGAAGTAGAAGCAGTGGGTCATGATCAGACAGTTTCCCATTATGCTTCTGCGAACTTATTCCAATCCTTTTCCTCTTCGTTTAGTCATGCGGATTATAAATAGATCGCAGATTGCGTGCAATTACGATAACTATCGGGAAGCAAATTTAAAAACAGGAAAATCGAAGGAATCGACGAACGTCGATGTGCGTATGTAACCTATGAAAATTATCGAACGTAGCATAACTTTGATTCGTGTATTATTATATTACAGATTTATTTTCGACTATAAATTTATTTTCGCTATAAATGCACAAATCTTGCAAAACTCGTACACATCGTAAACGTGCAAATCGTGCAATGATTCACGCGCCGTAAATGCATAAATCATGCAAACTTATCGATGCGGCCGCGAACGCGCAGAATTTATAAACTCGCGCCATAATTGCACAGAGATCCGCGATATCCGGATCGCTGAAAAACTCTCGACGAACGATGATACTTCGCAGGGAAATTTCGCCTTTCGAAATAATCTCGATAAATAGAGATGCCAAGATGCTGGAACGCTATTTCGGGAACCGAAAGCAAGAGGAGTCCGCAGATTTTGTTCGCGAGTTTCGTTCCGAATCGAAAGCCGAGCCAGAAGAACGAGCTCCATTGTGGCTGTCCGGGGTCCGGCTCGCATCGTTCTGATAACATGCTCGATTCTTCCGAGTGCAAACCTCTCGGAACGCCCTCCTGACGTTCCGAAAACACTGACCGCTCGTTTCGAAGCGTAACGTGGTTCCTCGGGAACTGTCGGATCCGATTATGTGACCGGTTATCGTTGGCCCTCGCTCGCAGCCGCGGTCCTCGAAACGTCAGCCTGTCAGCTTCGTAAATTTTTGCGGGGGCATCCACCTAGTCATGCATATTCATGAACACTCGAACCGGGAACGGGGTCCTCGAGTATCTCGATCGGCCGTCCAGTCGGATTCGAGGATGACGATGTGCACGAATATGGTCGCTGCAGAATCCGGCATAACGACTGTTGCGGTCTTAGGTCACATTTCGGGGACTTACGACAGCGGGGAACGCGAGCTCGTAATCTCGCCGAGTTTAGAATACGAGACAAATACAAACGGCTTTCCATTTTATTGTACGAAAGATGTTCAAATCGATTTGTGCATTTTGTTACACCGGTATACTTCGTACCAGTAACACAAGCACGCTCGAATGTCTTTTATCGTACAATTGGCTGCTGCACGGCGCAGCGTTGTAATTAGATTTTCTGAAAATCAATGCCTTTCTGTACAGGATAAACGAGGTGTTCCCCCGATGGACCTTTTCAATTACTGAAAGTAAATTATTATGCAAGATATTCGATAACGATAATGCACGTAAACGATCGTCGATAATTTGTACTGTCAGGCGGAAGCATTAAGATTTATCTTAATGAAGGATGACGTTTGAATGATGAAAAAGAAAAGCGGCTGTCAGTCTGCGATCAATTATGCAGATACGGACGTCTGCGTCATTTTTCACGTTGTACAATGATCGATAAGGATTTTTTAAATGTACCATCGGACGGAAAGTCGAGCGACCCTCGAATAAATACGATCTCGTCATTTTTTAGGGGAGTAACGTAAAGGTAAAAAGCTCGGATTAAAGGATTCGTAATCGAGATGGGACGCTCGATGGTCGAAGGAGGGGTTGAAAACGGATCGTTTCATTGATCGGAGCCGCGGGAGTTGATCTAGGATCGAGGATCGAAGGCGATCCCGCGTTTCGTGACGAATCACAGATAGTGGAAGCACGAACGGACGATTTACAAGGTTTTCTGGTTCGTAAATAGCGTTTCGCGTCGACTCGCGTCGCGG